GGGTTATTTCATAGATTTCATAGACATTAGGGCTGGAAGGGACCTCGGAAGATCATCGAGTCCAGCCCCCTGCCCAAAGGGCAGGAAGTCAGCTGGGGTCATAGGATCCCAGCAAGATAAGCATCCAGTTTCATCTTGAAGGTGTTCAATGAAGGCGCTTGAACCACCTCCGGTGGCAGGCTGTTCCAGACCTTGGGGGCTCGGACAGTAAAGAAATTCTTCCTTATGTCCAGCCTGAAACGGTCTTGAAGTAGTTTGTGACCTTTCGACCTCGTCATCCCTTGGGGCGCTCTGGTGAACAAACGTTCCCCCAGATACTGGTGGTCACCCCTGATAAACTTGTAGGTGGCCATCAGATCACCCCTGAGCCTGTGCTTTTCCAGGCTAAAGAGCCCCAGGGTTAACAAACTTGTGGGCAAGAGGGATTCAGTTACCATAATACATTTGGATTTTCAAAAAGCTTTTGACAAGGTCTCTCACTAACAGCTTTTAAAAAAGCTGATTTGCCATGGGATTGGAGGGAATGTTTTCTCATGGATGGAGATCTGGATAAAGCAAAGGATAGAGCTAAATGGTAACTTTTCAGGTTGGAGGGAGGTCAGAAGTGGGGTCCTGCAGAGATCTGTGCTGGGCCTTATTTTGTTCAACATTTTTACCAATGATCTGGAAATAGGTGTGCACAGTGAAATCTTCAAGTCTGCAACTATATGTACACAATAGTGTGTTCTGAACTAGTTGTTACAACTCAGAAAAGTTGACCTTGGAGTCATTGTAGATTGAGCTGATATTTTTGGAGAACTATGTGCAGCAGTGACCAAAAAAAGCCAATAAAATGTTGGGCATCTTTAAAATGGAGAACATCATCATGCCATTCTACTAATCCATGGTGCCCCCACGTCTTGAACACTGTATGTAGCTCTGGTCTTCACATCTCAAAAAGGATGTAGTAGAATTTTCTAATTCAGAGAAGAACAAACAAAATGATCATAGGTATGGATCAGATGCCACACTAGGAGAGACTAGAAAGGCTAGAACTATTCTGTTTGGAAAGGAGAAATATGATAGAAGTCTATAACGTCATGAAGGGTGTGTACCGCATGAACAGGGAACTAATGTTAACCAAGTCCTAAAATGATAGGGGGCACTCACTAAAATTGGTAGGAGAGAGGTTTAAAACAAGATAAAGTACTTTTTTTGAATGAAGCATGTGGTTAATTTGTGGAGCTCAAAGCCACAGGAATTGATGGAGGAGGATAGTACAGCCATGGTCAAAATGGGACTAGACAAATTAATTGATAATAGAACATTTGGAGATGTCTCCTAGACATCTGTAAACCAGTGATGGTGGATGCCGACGAGGGTAACGAATAGGGGATATATCATTCTGGATGGTCTAGTTCAATGTTCTTCCTCTACAGCATCTACTTCTGCCACTGTTAGAGACAGGATATTGGGCTAGATGAACTATTGGCCTGACCCAGTATGGCAAATCTTATGTTTTTATGTTCTAGAAGCCTCTTTAGATCAACACAATATTAATATGATTTATCGCTGTTGAATGCAATATGCAACTGACCTGCTTCATGTTCCTGATGATTTTTTGGTTGTGTTTTACAGCAGCTTCTTTGACACAATTATATCTCAGCATAGTTAAGGCTATCTTACAGCCTGTGTGCTTGCTTACCTCATTGGAGTGAGTTCTGTTTTGGTGTTTGGCCCGATCGGATGCATTAGAGAAAGCTTTGTTGCAGCCCTCGTGCTCACAAACATATGGTTTCTCTCCAGTGTGAGATCTCAAGTGGGTTTTCAAGTTTTCTAATCTGGAGTAAGCCTTTGTACAACCTTCAAACTGTGGACAACATGTAAAACTGGATTATGCTAAATGCTTGTGATTTTAGGAAAGGTAAAACAGCCCAATATAATAACAAAATCTCAAAGATTAGAAGCTTAGTAATTTTGTTCAATGGATGGAAGCATTTTCTTCATTTTTGTTAAGACAGTCCTCTATAACTTGAAATAAAATACTTCTAGCACAATGCAAAATCTCCACTGTAAGAGAAAAAAAGTCTAGATAGTAACAATATGTTCATGTTTTTTTTAACTCAGAAATCCATTAGCATTTTGGGGTTTAGCAGTATTTCTATGAACAATGCAAGCAACTCTACCTTAGTGAACACCTTTTACAGAGAAATTTGATTATTTAATGGAGAGAATTTAGATTTAGGAAACTGGGCCTAATCGAATCATCATCTCACACCTTCCTGTAGTCACTGTCTTCTGTGCAAAGTAAGTAAATAACTGCTCCTCTGCTGATATGGTGCTGTTTTCACAAGATCAGACACAGGTGTGGAACAGCTATGTTGGGAGTCCAAGCTGGGAAGGAGCAGTTTCATGACTCAGCCTGTCAAACCTGTGAAAACCAGCTGTCCAGGATTGTGTACTCACAGTGCATTTATGAGGCTTTTCCCCGGTGTGTCTCCTCATGTGTACCACCAGCATATATTGGGCTTTGAAGGGTTTCTGCTCCCGGGAACAATCCAGCCATCGGCACACAAACTCCTTCTTCTCACCGTGGATGTGGTCATTGTTTATATGCTGCAGAGGTAGAAACCATATGACAGGTTAGCACATTAGCAACTCCCTTGTGTTGAAGACATCATACCACCACTATTAATTACTGTTACTAGTATTACCATAGAACATAGGAGCCTCTAGCATGGACAGGGACCTCACTGTGATCCAAACATACGATAAAAAAAGAAAGCTTTTTCTCCCAAGATATTATAATCCAAGTAAATTACAGACCTAATCTAAAACAGATAAAGTGTTATGTGGTCCTTTCTTTAGACATCAACAGGCTTTTGATTAGTCCTACATATTTAATCAATCCCAATTGATTAAATTATAATTGATTCTATATAATTGATTCTGTATAATTTTACTTAGGTCTCAATTTACATAGTTCACATAGGGTGTGTCTACACAAGACACTTAATGTGCCGTAGACAGTCTACGGTGCATTTACGCATCATGTCAAAAACTGTGCTAATGTGCAGAAGAATTAGTCTACTGCACATTAAGCATCACAAAAAGACGGTGTGCCATTGCTACTGTGTATTAGCACTGGCTACTGCACATTTATGTAGTACCTCATATTAGAGGTACTTAACTTAATGTGTACTAGCAACAGCACATTAATACATGTGTAGATGCGCCCACAAAGTACTACTTACATCCCAAAGACTTAATTTAGGTGCTAACACATGATTTGCAAAATCATGCTTTCAACAAGATAGCCTCCAAATAAAAAGGTGAAGTAAAAATGTTCAATTGAGCTTCCAACAAAATATTTGTCTCACACCATATTACCAGTATTTTCGTTTTGTGCATGTATTAAATTTAGTGTATGCTTGATAGACTTCAATTATTTAAAAAAGCAAACTGGAGTTCCTTCTAATCCAGATTTCTTTGCCATTTTGTAATATGGTTCTTCCTGCTTTCTCCTACAATTTCTTGAAGACTCAGACCTAAATTTGATTCTCACATGCACATGCTCAGCTCTCGTTTTGGTCAGTGGGATCTTCATGAATGAATCCAAAAGCAGAATCTGGTTCTATATTTTTCACTTTTTCCATTCCATAAGACCCTGGAGTCACAAAGAATTAAAAAAATGTACTTAATTCTTTAAAGTTTTTATGTACAGGGATAGCCTAGTGAGCCAGGGCATACATATCTTAGCATTAAGTTTATTTTAAAAAGGTGTAACTGTCAAAATTCTCAGTTTTAAAATACATACAATCGCTCACAACCAGAATTTTCAGTTACCTAAAGGAATGAATTTCAATGGCACTTAAGCTGCCTGATTCTCTTGGATTTCTTGGAAAGTACCATCAACCAGACTCTTAATTTTTTTGTATTTATTTTTCTGAAACAGGTCTGTTTCCCTCTTCTACCACTAGGTGGCTGCCTGTCTCAAAAAATGGAACTGTTTCAATTAAGGCACTAAGGCTGTTTCCAGAGTTTAAATTTGATCGTAGTACAGATGAAATCAGCATCCGCTCCATAAGTAGCTCATAGAAAAGTCAGGCATACAGAAAGTCAGTAGTTCATAGTGAAACACGAAAAAGATAATCCTGATCTTTTCAAAGTCTTGAAAACAATAAAAAAACTAAATAAAATCACTTATGTTCACAATTATACAACGTCTCTATGGCAAACACATGTGGGCTGCCTATAAAAGACGACTGTTCTTTTTCTGTTTTCAAAACTTTATTACCATTTCTTAAAAGTTATGATGCTGCGCTGAGCATAGGCACAGAACAGATGTGCTGGACAACGTACAACAAGTAATCTTTAAGAGTTTATGTTTCAAGTGCATATCTCTGTAGTCCATTCATATTACATGTGCCTGTACCAAAAGTGTACAGATGGCCAGTGTTTTGAAACCGAATCAGAACGGTACAGGAAGGTTAATATGTACTCTTATTGCCTGAGAGAAAAAGAAGCAGCTGCATGAAACTCCATTATGAAAACAACTATTGGTCAGATCTTTCTGCAAATAAAATGTATCACGAGTTGTCTGGATAAAGCTACACTGTACTGGAGGAACAAAACCAAAACTAGTGCATATGATGCAAACTGAATGTGGTCTGATTTTGAGTAAGGACCAGCAGTTCATTTTGTTCTCTTTTACCTCCAAAAGCATCCTTCTCCCTGTGCTGTCCTGCACAAGTCAGGGTGCAAAATTTGCTCACTTTAAACAAACACTTTGAAAATGGTTTCTCAGTACATATACCTATAACTCGCATCCATCCCTTGTCACCTCCTGGCTTCCCTCATGCACCCTCTTGCTTTTTGGACTCTCTGACTTAACATGACCCGTTTTGCAATCCACGCTAAAGGCAGATAGCTGCAAGAGTATTTGCCTGCTGAGCTATGTCATCCACCTCTAAATCCCTTCATTGGCTCCTCCATTCAAGCTTCTTGTGACTGCCTTCAGGTCACTGCCTGATGTTGCTGCTCCCTACATTTCTGCCCGCCCCCCCCTTAATCATGTCACTGCTTTCCCATTCTCTCTGCTTCTCCCACAGGCACCTGCACTTTATTTCACAATACTCCTGTGTGTCAAACACCTCTTGGTCCTTGTCTACAAAGCTTCTCTGTTCTCTCATGAAGATCCTCCTCTTCAAGTAAAGCCTAGAAGAAACCTGATAAGGGCATTTACTAAGCTGTGGCTGCATCTACATGAGATGCTGACTGCATTGTTACTGCACAGTCATTTAGTACTTGCATACACAAGTACTACATGATTTCACAGTAACCAGTGTTACTGCGCAGTAGTGTCCCCAAACGGCTTTTTGGTGACACTACTGCACAGTAGCTCGCTACTACTGAGCAGCCAGTGTCTTGTGTAGACACGGCCTGTTTTGACATAGTTAAAACATGAATGGGCTGTTCAGTGACCTGAGGGACACAGAGAAAGATGTGGAAAGGCAGTGGAACTGACACTGGGCACTGGTACAGAAGGAAGAGCAGAGGGCTGAGATACATGAAGAGTTGTAATGAGTTAATCCTACATAGCAAAAAAACCTAAAATGTCAGAACACAGCAAAACACTTCACTATGATGATTCTTGGCTTTCATCACCCTGATGGTTTATTTTGGGCTAGATCCTGATATCCTTAACACATTTTTATATTGGTCTGTGCACCACCACTTTGACAGACAGGTAGACAAATAAAATGTCTATTAGATTTTTCTTGGTCCTTTCAATTGTTATTTTGAAGAACAATATTTTAGAATTATTTTGTGGAATATGTGTGTGTGTTTCATTGAAAAAAATGATCTTTCTATCTAAAGTGTTCAGAAATTTCTCAACTCTGGCAATCAGGTTCTTTGATTCTGATAATTACCTTCGGATTTCACATGGTGTTTTTGACTCCTTGGTCTCCATAACATGAATGATTGAATAGTTTTTAGTTTATAAGACAAAGAACACTCTGGAATAAGAGTATTATGCAAAGCAGAAGCTTTGGTGGAGTACAATAAGGATTTATGGGGTTTCAATTTATAATCTGTTTGTAACCTTATTACACCCATGAAATGTCACATTCCAGGGAGTTGATCAGAAGGATTTTTTTTCCCAGTGAAATTGAATTTTGATGTAATAGCCCTAGTTTCTTACAGGCAAAAAGACCTTTCCTTTCATTCTGTGTTTGTTAATGACCCAATCCTGCAAGTCTTCCATTAGTAATCCTGATAAAGCAAATGGGCCCATGAAAGCCAAGAGACCACTCCTGTGTTTAAGGACAAACACATAAGGCTCCACTCAGCATCTGGCTCCATATTATTAGAAGCTTCCTACCTGATAAATAAAACTCTCTTATGAATAAACATGCTAAAAAATATCCCCCATTGTATACAACTGTCATTACACACCAACCCCTGCAAGTCCACTTATAAAATGCTGTTTTCTTTCAAGCCAATTCAATGTTACTCACTAGAATTAAATAAGCTGTCATCCAGTTCCTGTTCTTTAAAGGGTGTTACCATATTGCCCCAAAATCATTTGTGGAAAAATGCCAAAACATGGAGTGAGGACATCCAGTCCTGGTATAAAGAAACAGCAGTTCTATTGCCATCAAGGATATACCTGGCCTGTAATCTCTATGTGAAGATCAGGGACTGTAAACCTTGCTTCACAGTTTTTCTAGCAGCAAAATAGTCTATGATTAGCCCAACTGTCATTAAATATATAAAGATATCTGATAAAGTGTGTTTCATATGCATCCCATACCATTTTATAAGGCCGGTTCACTGCCTAGCACCCTGGCAAAAGATTGTATACGACATTTGAGGTAAGAACAATTAATGATCAAGTTTGGTATCCCCCTTCCATAATTTCTTCTCAAGGATAGGAATGCATTTGCATGCTGATCAGAGCGAACTACTTGGTAAGAGTTTACTCACTGAACAAAAGCCAAAGGTGTATCCCTCCATTGTGCAAGTGGCAAAGGAGATTATTGTTTGACCCTGGAGGAAAGATGTGAGTTGCAAAGGAGCACTGCAAAAAGGATCTATCTGAGGCTATAGCTTCAAACCAAGTATGATTTGGTGGAGAAAAGAAGAAAGTGTGGTGAAAACATCTAATTCTAAGTGATACAGTGAATGCACCATGGTGCATATTTAACATGAAAAACAGGAACAGAAAATGCTGCTTATCAGCTACGTGGCCCCATGAATGGCATTGTGGAAAGCATTGTATTTGCATTTCACTAGATGTTTAGTTAGTTAGGTAACTTCAATGTTGTATTAATAAAGTTTTTGATAATTAATTTTCCCACAAAGTTTAAAAGGAGTGCTAAAAGTCTCCACACTACAATGCATCATGAAACACAAACACTTAACCCTATTTATGGTGCAAATCTTTCCCCCAGCTGCTCAGACACAAGGCCCACAGGGCAGCAGAGCTACTGAAGTCCCTCTGTGTGAGACAGGCAGTAAGCGATGGGAGAAGAGCAGCCAAACAGCTTCCAACCATGACTTATTTTGCAGCTGCACAAAGGAGTGTGAGAGTCCACAAATAGCAGAGATGC